TGGCCCTCACTGATCTTCCAAACGTTGGTATCACGAGCTGGTGGGTTGGAAAGTGTGAGATGTCGCAATCAGATCCAGAGGCCACTGACCCGGTCTGCCGTGGCGTGGGGTTGTGCCATGTTGTGCCAGAAAACCGGTGCAGGAGAGGTGCGGTGCCATGACCTCCGCTATGGCGGGGTTTTGTGGTCGAGATCCTTTGACGAAGGTGCGATCCTGGGCTTTGTCGCAGGCACTGGAAACCTGTGGCGACTGGGAAGTGGCTCAAGGGCAGTGGCGACTGCCCGCGACTGCCGTGGTTTGAGCAGAGGAGCCAAGTGGCGAAACGATGAATACATAGATTGGTGGCCCTGTTCTTGAGGCTCCCTTGACCAACTGTGATCAGGATGCCAAATTCTGTTGTTCGGATTCATATGAACGCCAACACACCCGCCATGGAGGCGTGAATGCGGCACCGGCCATCGGACCTGGCCCAAAGAATCAGAGCATGGTGGTCGTGGCTGTGGGCAACAATCCGAAACTCGGAGACATTATGACCCCTGTCGTGGCTGTGCGTCTTCCCTCGTGCCCAGTACCTCAAGACTCCACATTTGGAGGTATAGTGCCCGCATGCCTTTGCAGCACATGTATATACTTGGCCCGGACCGCGGACACCGACTATTGATCTGCACCCATGTTGGCTTGAGAAGTTCAGCATGCTTTAAATTGCAGCAAATTCTCAGGCCTGGTGGGGAAGCATAATAATGGTTTTCTTGAAGGAAGCACACCAAAGAAGTGGAAACCTGTTCATTCCTGTTGAAAGTCAAAAACATGGAGAAAGCAGAAACCACACATGACAGTTTGTGGTCTTTCTTCCTGTTCACGGGAACCTTGCTTTTCAATCGACTTTCTATTTGAATGTCGACCTTCCGTACGTGAATGTCAGACGGACGCTTCTTCCATCAGATCAACGGACGTTGATCAGAGACGCACACACCGGATGCACCGGATGTGCACAACACCGGACTCAGGGAGTGTTTGCCTGAGCCCATCATTGCCACTCCCAAGCACGCACAGATCCTGGTCTGGAGCTCAGCGTTTGTTGGCATCCCAGGAATCCAGCTCAATTTTCACGATGGTAGACAAAGTAGAGTCATAGGGTGCATATCTTCAGATCCTAGGCAGATCGGTGAAGATGGTACATCAATGTCAAAAGGGAAATAATAAAAATCCCAGAAAAAACACTCGGACATTAACGAACACAGATCAAGCATCACAAAAATCACAAAGAACTAAACAACATTCCAGGAGACTAGAATAAGAAGACTAAGCGGGCTCCCACCCAACCCCCCCACCGTTTCGAGTCTCCTCTCTGCTGTTTCTCCCGCCCGTGTTGAGTCGGTCGACGGAGGCCCTGGATGGCCAGGATGGCTCGACGCTTTGGAGCTTCACCGCACCGGTGGCGCGGCCGCAGGCGGTGGAGGGCGGACGACGAGGGCGGTGGAGGGCGGTGGAGGGCGGTGGGAGGGATGAGATGAGTGGCCCACGGAGGGAGAGAGGGACATTGTTCGGTGAGAGACTTCCGGTTTTTCTTCTCGCATGGCTAGCAGCTACAGTAGCAGGCTGCCTTTTTTGTCATGGAGTCAAATCAAAGCTTGCGGTTGATGTGGGATCATGCCAATCAAGAGTCCAGGCAAGGTGTTGTGATTTTCTCAGTTACCCACAACCAGACAACCCGGCCACCCATGCTTTGGAAAGATGTAATCCGCACTTTGCACTAGTAATCTGCACGATGCTTTTAGCCTTTTGTTAGCAGTGGAAGCAGCAGCAGTTGAGGCAGTAGGAGGTAGCAGATGGTCTTGCAGTAGGAGGCAGTAGGAGGTAGCAGTCGAGGCAGTAGGATTCAGATGGTCTACACTATTTGTCTTTGTCAAAGTCGGTTTGGTGTCACCTGACATTGTGAGGTTTTTGGGTGCTCGCTCACTTTCATTCTCCGTTCGTTTTTGACTGGTCAATGGAGTCATTTTCTGATGTCTGATTCAGGGAGTGTGCCCAAAGCAATCGAAGGCAAACTGGAGGCCTGTTTGCCAGGTGTTGGTCCAAGTGCTGAGCTTTGGCCAGTCCAAGCTTTCGTCGGCCAGAGTCTTTTCTAACTCGTGCTGGCTGCATGCAAAACCCGCCTGGCCCCCCCGCTCGCTCGCGAAAAAGACTCGCTGGACGGGGGACGTGCGACGTGGAACTGTAAGGAATACTCCTTGTCCTGCGCTGGCCTCTTGACTGCAACCCTTAGTAGGTTTTGGCTTGAAAAAACACTTTTTGGCTTACTTTATTGTGGTCAGGTGCATTCTCCAAAGGGTTTGTGCTTCCTCGGATGTACACTTGATACATCGTCCAATCATGGTTTCTGCCTTGCATGAACTGTTTTGAACATGAACAAATGTGTTGTTTGGCATGAAGTAAGATGGCATGTTGTTGGGAGATGTTGGGAGACAAGTTCAATATTGGTCGTTCATCTGAATTTTCTTCATTTTCCGTCCCCAGGTGCCACAACCGAGTTTTGGGTATCTTAGGCAACACGCCCACGGAGATTTGCTGCCCAAGCATGTGGAGCCAGCCGACTATTGCCAGCGATGCTGTGGCAGCAAGTATTGGACATATCACATTCAAATTCACTTGGTTTGGAGATGCTTTTTGGACACCCATAAGTGCACATCCAAGTGGACATATACTCAAACATGTGTTACAATCAAACTTTCAGATTTGATATGTTTGGCTTCTGCCGGTTCGGTTTGCGAGTCTGTTCAGAACTTGGATCACGCAGTGTATATAGAGATCAATTTAGTCGTCTATATATATATATATAGTCATGTTTGCATGCAGAAATCAAAGGCAGGTGATGAATTGATTCTTTGCAGATACTTGTTTGGGATTCCGGAAAACCCTTCACACCCGTCAGGATGGTCGAGTTTATGTGGCTTTGCCGCAAGAATCGAAGCTGTTTTGTTCTGCTCATCCAACATGAGGCAAGTTGTAAATGGAAGAGGATGTCGCGGCCAGGTTTTCTAATTTTAAAGAGGAATGGGCAACAATTGTAGCCACCTTCACGTTGGTCGCATGTGGTACCAGACAAGGTGTCGAACGTGTTCTGGTTGAAGGTGTTCTGGTCGGTGGCCGTCTGTGTTCAGAGTCTACTGGCCCTGCTCCAGTGCTCATGTTCTCGCCACGTGAGGTGAATTGGTCCGGTGGAAAGCTCTTCTCGCCGCTTTTCGAGCAATCATTTGGATCATGAGGACATATGAACACCTACCAATATCTGAGAGCAATCCTTTTGATCATGAAGACCTACCAATATCTAAATTGAACGTCGGGTCAAAAGTACTTCTTCATAATCTTCATACTTTTTTCGGTTCTTCTTTCGGATGGAGCGGCCCGTTCTCGAGCGGAGCAAAAGAGATCGTTTCACCGGCACCAGATCCATCGCGGCTTCATCCGAAGACGACTCCGAAGAGTCCGAAGGGAACCCATGGGCCTCTTCCGAAGAGCCTCTTCCCCTGAAGATGAGCTGTGAGCCGTTTTCCAACATGTTTTGAGCCTCTGATTTTGATTTTGGAACCACATGTTCCATGATTTTCACAAATAGTGAACAGTTTGTGAGCTATTGGTTGGTGATGTGTCTACAGCCAGGCGCCCAGACGAAACCTTTTGCCTCAGGTCCCAGTTTGCAACTCCGAGGCGTGGAACCAACGAGTTGAACCGCTCCGAAACACCCGCCGAACCGTCCAGATGTTTTGGATCTGGGCTGCGGATCTGTCGCACCGACCCTCGTGTGGACGGCCCGCCACTCATCGCCCATCCCGGGTATTCAGCCGTGTTGACGCTGCGGATGACCCAAATGAGGCTCATGGATGTGGACCTCGACGGGAAGATTGACCTGAACGATCCCAGGGAGTTCTCCTTTTACCACCACGGCAAGGCGCCCGAACGTCGGACTCGACTCGGTTCCGAGCGGCCGAGGAACTGCTGAGCCGTCCTTCGCCTTCTTTGACGGGGTATTTGTATGCTTAGATGCAGATGGGCGTGTAATAGACTAGGGAGACCTGCCAACGAATTCTTGGCAGGTTTTTTCAGGGGTTACTTGGGAGGTCCTATTTCAATACACACCCATATAATCCCATCATAATCCCTGATATATTCCTTTTGGAAAGCAAGAGCCAACATCTAGTCTGTTTGGGGTACTACATCCGAGTACCAGTGTCAAGAACCAGTGTGCCAGACAGATGGTTGCATGTTTGATTTACCCCAATGCTACGATTGGCATACCAAGAATGGATAAGAACGGTGCTGCGGGTTTTCTCCAACCTTCGGAATCTGGAATCGACCACTGCCCGGCACGTATCATCGACCACTCGCATCAGGGATCCAATAGTCAGACAGCGCTGGCTCCTGGCCTGATGGTTCCAAGCTCAGAATGAGGACACCACAGACCAATAAACCAGGACGTGGGATGGATGGTGGTCGGACGCAACGTCCTGAATGGACGTTCGACCTCCCAGGTGGCCGCTGTTTGCAATCAGGTCTTTGCGTATCAGGAGGAATGAGTGCTGGAGATTGGCGATTGACGCGGGCCCCAGAGGGCCCTCTGGGCATAGTTGGATGAGCGTCTTCAGCCGTAGCCCTTGCTAGCAGAGGTCCACTATCCACTTCATAGTGAAGTGACATCCAGCAAATAAGTACTTTTGATGATTCACATACGGCTGCCGGCTCTTGACCAACCAATCGAGCTGGAGGATTGCTGCAAAGCAACGTCAATGTCAAAAAGGTGCCATGCCGCAGACACGCTTGTCGGGTAGGAGTCCGCAGGTCTCTTTGGAGGATGAGATTGCGAGATCGGGGGAGCATGCTTGCGTGACACCAGCCGCACGTGGAGAGTAAATAGTCTCTGTTGTTTCTGCCTCCCTGCAGGGGGTATGGTTCAGAAACGCAACTTGGTGGATAACCCACACCTTGGAGCCAACATCTGAGAGGCCAAGCTCATGTCGCGCATGCAGACGTGAACTGCTCCCGGAGCAACTGTCCGGAGCTCATCCGGTGATGAACCTCTCCGTGGTCACAGTGGGTGTTTTGGGCCCCGAAAAATGGCTGCCCGATGGAGTGAGTCGAAGACATGCCATGGATGGAGTGAGCTTTTTGATCTTTTTGGGAACATCAGCTACTGATACACTATGGATCGTCATTGATTGCTGCTCAGCGGCTCGCAGACCCTCCTGTAGCATCTGCAGCTGTTGGAGGCAGTTTTCTTTTTCAATGTTTGTTCAACCCAGCGTTTGTTTGGGCTGACTGAGTATAGATCCTCCAAACGTTAGACCCTGTTTGAAGGATAGTAAGCCAGTATAGACCCTGCTTGGAGACCCTGTGGAATAGACCCTTATACTGTCTGTATAGATCCTGCAAATTGGTCTCCAAGTTTGAAGGGTCCAAGTTCCACAGGTCCGACTTCAGTGACTCGCGGCCACGCACCCCATGGGGCGGTTCGGTGGACCGTCTGTGTCTTACGTGACGACTCCACCGGTCGAGACGAAGGGTTGACCGGTCGATGGGTTTGGAGTCGTCCGACCGGACGTGAGGAGCCCCCCGTCTCGGTCGATGTATAGCTCAGGCACAAGGTGATTTGCACCACGACAGGTAGCGCGCAATCGTAGCTTTGGTGCACGCAGGTGTCTGAATTCGAATAAGAAGAGGGTCGGGTGAAGCTGGGGTGAAGACCTGTGGGGTACTTTCCTTCACATGAGGTTGGTTGGTACGCTGTGGAGAAAGACCTCAACCTTATCCTCGCTTTCCGGCACTCTTAGACTCGCCTGGCAGCTGATGAAGGACGTCCTTTTCTTCCTGATTACCGGGGGCTGCTTTGAGTTTTCAGCAAGGTGACCAGTTCCTTCACCTGTGGCCTTTTCTGCCGTTCACCATCATAATTCAATACCATTCCTATTCATATCATTTGGGGTGTGGTCCATTTGTAGTAAATATATATACATTACATATACAATTTATATACTGTATTTTTGTGACCTTTCTCATACCCTCCTTGTGAAAACCTCACTGCCGAGACTCCCATCCGTCCTCGCGTCCCATGCTGGAAGCACCGAGAGTCCAGGCGCCCACGCGGACTTCCTGTGCGGAGAATTTCGGGAACCCTGCAAGGTGCGGACGTGACCCTGGGCGGTTATCGGCGGTTCTGTGACCGGAACTTCGGCTGCTGAGGACCCGAAAACGGCCAGTGTCCGGTTCGAACAGACATGACCTGCTGACCTGCTAAGTCTGAAACCGATGTTCTCAAGTCCTTCGGCATGTGGGCGTTTTTTGCCGCTTGTTTTGTAAGGGATTCCCATCGCCTGGACCTTGGGACATCCAGACTTGCTGAGATTCCCATCGCAGGGTCGCTGTCAAAATGTTTCATCCCAAGATCCAAGGGTGTGACTCTCATCTGGGGATTCTGGTCACCCGTCCAAGATTTTGTTGGTGGAAACAATCTGACATTGCGGGGGAGAATTATAGAGAGTTGGTGTTTTACTGGTTCCAGATGTAGTGATTCCTTGATCCCAAGATATCCCAAGATATCCCAAGATCCCAAATCCTGCTAGGGAGCCTTGCCCCTCTCTAACGTCACCTTCGGAACACCATAAAGGCAGTAGACTTGGGGATGAGTGCTGTTGTGGGTGCCAGAGGGCAGCCAGTGAGCAAGGCCACGGTCGGCGCATATTACTATATTTTATACGAAATTTAAACATATTTCATCATGTCATAGTAGATACATACATATATTTATTGTAAATACTATTTTGTATAACATCTTACACAATGATGTTACATTACATTACATCATGTTACATATATGTATATCGTTTATATAGTACTATATACATATCCCATACTATGTTTCATTCCTCCTCCTGGGTCACTCATGGATCAACCGCCCATCCGACCCAGGCCCTTGGACCGCCCTCTTTTGGGATCCAGTTGGGGTGTCGCAGAGGGGCGGGCGTTGGCTGACGGAGCTCGCCCTGAAGTGCTTGACATGGAGTGTTCTGTTGGTCTTCCATGTGGAATTTGGACTCAAGCCTTCTAGGGTTGACTGTTGATACTGTTAATATATATATATCCCTCCCTGTACGGAGATGTTTGACAAATCTCTAGGGCAGTGTTTTTGATCGGCAAGCAAGGTCAGCCTTGATGCGATGTCAAACATCTGGAGTTTAAATATCTTGAACCTTTGCTTGAAACTGATCGTTTTGGAGTTGGTAGAAACAAGTGAAAGGCAGGCTGCTGTAGGAATTGTAGGGGGTTGATATCAATGGGTTCAGAAGGAAATCGAGTCCGTGGATTGTTCAAAGTAGATAGAGGTTCTTGAAACACAATCAGATGATGTGATTCCAATGATTCCTTGCTTCGTAGGTGTTGCAGGGAGTTTGCTACCAGTGATAAGAATGAAGGATTCTTTCACGTTACAGCCACGCCAGTGCTAAGCAAGCACTCGTAGGATGCAACAACAAGGGCCAGCAAGAACAAATTTTAGTAAGATAGGATGCTCTTCCCATCAAAGAGAGCATGAATACTGCCTGCAAACGCACATGATTCCTTCAACCTTGTGACCTGCTTTGGACTCAGACCCCTTTGGGCTATCGACGTCTCCAAAGGTTGTGGCCCTTTGGTTAGTCCAAGATTCTCACAATGTTTGCCACAGTCAGCGCCTGATACTTCATGTTTTCAATGGGAACTGTTTTGGGACAATTTTGACATTCTATCCTGGCGCTCTCTTCTCTCTCTCTCTCTCCCTACCCAGTACCAAGCCCACCTATGGGCTTCTGATAGAAAGCCCTCAACGCCCGCCTTTCTCGAGGCTTTGGCAAACTGCAGTGTCCTTTTTTGCGCCGAACCGCAGCTACAGGCCAGCCAGTTGGTTTGAACGTCATGACTTTTGGGCAGAGTCATGTCCATTCATGTCCCAACGGAAGTGAACAATTGACCTTTGGAAGGCATGTTCCTTTGGAACGGATGTTCCACTTGCCTGCTTGTTGACCTCTCCCAGTTGGAGACCGAGCCCTGTCCAGCTGTCCAGGCGCATTGAGCAAAGCCACTTCGACCAGGCGGCCTGCGAAGCAGGCAACGCCTGGATCGAGCCGGGTGCCTCAGACGTCGCTTCGGGGCGGATCGGGGCGGCTTCGTTCCGGTCGCGAGACCGAAAGCGGAAAGGAAATGATCAGATGAGCGGAAAGGGAACAAGGACAGGAGGGTTTTGTGATAGGCAAGTGGTTGCATGATGCAGTTTTGTTAATGTTTGGTGGAATTGCAGGTAATCGTGCAAGTGTAACCTCAAGGCCATTAACTATTAACTAGTAGGCTAATTATTGGAGACGAGGCTGTTGTGCTGTGCTATGCAGCCTGGTCCTTTTGGGATGAACGCTTTCGCACCGCATTCTGTGTTCAACAAGGACTCGGTCAGTCAGAGGAGTCGAAGGAGGTTCCCTCCCACGCAGAAAAAGCCGCAGCCAGGGTGATCTACGAGGGCTCTTGGCAAGAGCATGGAGGATCCCCTCACGCGCTGAACTAAGAGTTTAATTTAATTTGTCCAAAGAAAGGCCAGTGACAACAGTTTATATAGTCGCTGTGTGGCAGAAATGGGTTTGGTTGAAAAGAAGACACATCCAGACTGACCATCCACAGAGCATTGACCATGTGGGATGTGGACTCTATAGTGCCTGGATGTGGGACTCAGATATCACAAATGCTGAGGTGCTTTCCACTTCATTAGCTTCCAGGAGAGTCACGAGCACCATCGTTAGGCCGGAGAGTCTCAGGAGTTGACGAGGAATGCGCGGTTTTGCATGTGGAAGCTATCTTTTATAGTGGGTTGAGAGTAGATGGCGCAATCCCCAAAAGGTGTTTTATATGGACCCCTATATAAAAGACATCTTGGGGTTTGTGCCAGCCTACTCTCGATCCACTGTAACGAAAGTTGTTAATCGGACGCGATCTTCTGAAGACGCTTGTTTGTTTTGCCTGGACTGATCAACTGCTCTGCCCGAGCAACAACACCACCAACATCCCCACAGCCTGTGGGTCACTCTGGGCCAACACCCTGAACTGAGCATGTTCATAACCGACACTGGAAAGGGGCGGTTGCCGTATCTGTGTGAGACTGCCGCTGCAGGCTGCTGGAGGACGGGATCCGAAACATGGAAACTCATTGTCGCTGGTACTCATGGTGACTGCATACCCATGAAGGTGCAGCCGTTGCAAAGTGTTGCAGTCGTTGTATTAAATTAGGAAGATGGTTGAGAAATGATGAGAAAAGCCCGTCGAGCTTATCTGGAAGCAGAGGCTTCACGGCTCAATCGTCTTGAGCTCAATCCTCGGGATCAATCCTGCCTCTCCAGTGATGTTTGTATGTATACCCACGCAGGAAGTGCGCCTGCACATTTACAGCAAGACATACAATTAGAGGAGAACAATTCGTAGTGGATACCATCGCGCATAGGTCTATGACAGGTGAATCCTCTTTAGGTTCTGTTTTGTTTGGCGGACAACCACTCCTTTCATTTCGACCACTTGCCAGACCTGCCTCTGCCATTGTCCCCCCCCACCTCACTGGCGGCTTTCGTGGTGTCCCAGGAGCAGCCGTGCCTCACACCAGTGAACATCCTACCACCTGCAAGGTGCTTCGATGCCGGCGCCGTGCTGGAGGCCGTGGTGGATGAGGACGTCGGTCACCGAAGTTGGACCGAAGAGTGAATCAAGCATATCAAATTGATTAAATAGAGTTTTTAAATTAATAGACCTAGTTAACATACCAATTAATAGACTGAATGGAGTTTCTAGTAGGGATGGCCTCCACCCTAGTAGCGATGGCCTCCAACCTACTAATAGCGTCATGTCCGTTGGAGATCCAATCATTCTGTTTCGGGAGGCTGCGTGCCCCTGCAATGGCCGGCAGCTCAGAAGAGGCTGTAAGAGGCTCTTCAAACTGAAGTCCTTTTGAGGTAAGAATTCTTGCCTAGGCACAAACCGGGTATTGCTATGAACAGGAAACATCAGAAGAAACGCTTTGAACCTTGCTGTGCGTGCAGTTTCCATCTGAATTTTGATGGAACAATTGTGACAAATTGGCAGAGGCGGAAGTCTCACTCGCCCTCATACCTCCGCATGTCTAGCTCCATGATACTTGGGACACATGATGAAGAGCTGTCCATAAAGATTACGCCAGCATAGACCCCAGATAGCAAAAAAGTCTGTGGGGCAGCACCCTGCAGCCGCAATCCGCAGAGGCACTCTGCTCAGCGGTGTCAGCACCCGAAATTCAAAGCGCACAGGGCAAGAGACATGTCGCAGCAGCACCGAGCTACAACCTCCAAAGCGCACCGAACCAGCACCCAAGCTCCCAAGTGCATACAGCAGCAACACCTTGCAGCGGCACCAGCACCCAAGCTCCCAAGCGCTCACAGCAGCGGCGCGGCACCGTGCAGCGGCACCAGCACCCAGGCTCGAAAACGCACACACACACACGCAGCTCTTCCTACACTTGAAGTGAATACTCCAATAGCTCACACTATCTGGGAAACAATCTCACAACATCTAACAATCTCACCTAAATGATCTCAGCTTGGTGGGCTGCGTCTTGTTGCACTGATCTGATTCGAAGCAGGATCCTCTGTCGTCCCCTTCCGTCGTCGCCCGAGGTCGGAACTGGACCAGCGACTCGGGCGGGTTTGGATGGCGGTCGCAGATGCACCGGGATCGTTCGTTGACTTGGGAGATCCACAGGGTGTTGTGGGTTGGATGGTGCAGCGGTTGCCATCGGAATACGGTCTTTGCCACCCAAAAGCGAATCTGGGCAATGTTGGACTTGGCTTGGTCGCGATGATTCCCTGTAGATCTCCTTGGTCGCTGCAACCCAGCTCCCGGCGATCGGATCGGGAAAAAGCGGCCGATCGGCCGATCTGTGGCCGACGGGTGGCCGCGGGCGGGTTCCGAAAGTCTGACATTTCGGATGGCGGGTTCCGATACAACCGAGCTTGCCTCTAGAACCATGAGGGCTTATACAGAATTCATCTCCGCATTGCTTGGGGAAGATGTAAGCTCCAGCAACCTCTCTCTCTCAGATACAGGTCTAGGGGCACCGTGGGCACCCACTTCAAAAGCAAAATGCTATACGGTTTTCAATGCAAGAATGGTTTACGGGGACCCGGTTCAAGTAGTTGTCCTGGGTTTGTTCTTATATAACTATATACAACTTGTGAGACTTGGTGAAAACTCTTACTTCAGCCGTTTCTTCACCTGCCATGGGATGGATGAGCAAGCACCTGTTATTTGACCGTTTTGCACTATGGTGGATTCGATGACTTGGCTGCTTTGCCAGTACATACAGAAGTGTTGGAAGGCCACAAGCAACTGTTCCCTTCCCTTCCCTTCCCTTCCCTTCCAAAGGTGGCAGCTATCCCCTTGGATACACTTTTACTAGCAGTCTCGGCGTTTTGCTGTAAGCTGTTTCTCAGGCGGGAATGCGACGAACATCAGTGGCTTGACTCTCCAATGACTAACGGGGCTGAGCATGGTGGTCTCAGTGTTCCTCAGACTGGTATAGTCAGGTTCATCATAATATGGCACAGGATGAAACAGTCAACCATCGAAGAACTTTGTCAGTATCCAACCAATTGTCACCCAACTACCCAACTATCCAAGACTATAGGCACTATATATATATTATATGTATATACAGGAGTTGCCCAAATCTGCTCAATACCATCGCCGTGACCATCACCAAAATGAGACGTCGATGTTGGGAGGGAATGACTCCTGCTGGGTGAGCACCCCTACCCTTTGACCAGTGAAAGGCTGCCTAGCATCAATCTGGAAGGGAATTCTACAGGCCATCGCTTGCGGGAGGACTGATAGTTGCTAGAATACATCATCATACTCAACCACCTGTTACCACATGTTTTGCCACTGACTTTGGATGAAACAACAACCACCGATCGATTCTCCGGTCCCGAGTTCCGTTCTTTCTTAGCTCCGGGTCCATCCGTGTCCTCCGAACGTCGCTCCATCCGCCCGCGGTGTAGAAACGCCTGGATCGAGATCAGCAGGTGAAAGCAGGTTCGATTTACGAGTCGCGGGTTGGTCAAGAAACACCATGCCTTTTTTGGTGCGTGTTGTTTGAAGGAACTCTTTCGGTCGGATGTCGCCGGTATTTCTATGTAAGTGCTTTCGTTGGTGAAGATTCTCCTTTCTTGGGAGACGCCGATGGATGATTTAACGACCAGGTAAAGGTGCCGGCTGCCCGAGTCTAAGGCGTGTTCTGTTCTCCACAGGCCGAGGGTGGACTGGTGCAGTGGGCTTGGCGTCAAAACAGACCAGACCAGAGTGTGCATCCAGAAGTTTGGAATTCTTTGTCTAAGTTGAGTGGTCATAGGATCATAGGATCATAGGACACCCAAACATCCTCAATCCTTCGAGATATTTTTGTGGATCGAATCACGACAGCTCCTCTGGCTATTGAACCCCTCCCAACCAGCGGTCCGGTCGAACCTGTGCTGGTGCGTTGCCCCCCCCCATGGGCAGAACCATGCAAAACCCTTGGCTCGGCCGCGCTGCAGGAGTGCCCCCTCATCCATGAGGTGTACTTGACAAAGACGCAGTACTTCTCCTACAATGCCTCCGAGGCCTGGACCGTGTTTCCGCGTGGCGAAGGTGGGCAAAGGTATGCGAAGGTGGGTCCAGGTGGGGGAAGGTGGGTGAGGGGCGAGGCAAGATTCAGGTTTGGGTTTTGATGTTTTGATGTGAAGTATTGAGACTGAGAAACCTTCCAAGCAGTGAGTTTATGTCGATGTGTCAAAACGCACCTGTGTGACGCATCCGTCGCACCGGTGTGTCAAAACGGCGCTCGGAACGGCGGTCGAGGTTCTGCCGCCCCGAAGGGCCGATGGACAACGAAGAAGCAAAGTGAAGCATGCAAAACGACTGAGCTGAATTTGAAGTTGGCCAAGCTCAGACACAACCAGAATTCGAAGTTTCTTTCGTGAGCTTCCAGGTGACATGCTTCCCCAAGCTGCACTTTGCTTTGTCACTACAAGCGTGGTAGCATGGTCATCAGAATCCAACTGACGCCGGGTGGTTTCAGGTTGTTCTGTGGAACCTCAATTTTCAAAATTTGTCCAGACTTTCAATTGAAGCAACAGCGATAGTTCCAACATTCTGTGGTTAGCTGGAATCTCATGGAGTCCCTCGTGTTTGACATGCAAACAAATACGTTTTTCCGCTTGTTCCCCCCTCACGACATGCCTACCCCCATGATCGACGAGAACTGAATGCCTTTGGCTGTGACAGGCACAGGCATGCTTCCTCAGCGCCAACAGTGACCAGGCTGTTTGACTGTTTGACTGGGCTGGAGGGACCGGCTGAAGGAGCAATACCCCGCCAAAATGACATGGAAGTCAATCCAGCATGGGTTTATGGAAGACCTCCCATTGCGGAAACCTGGTCAATCTGCAGCTGGAAGTTTTTGGCTTCCCTGAGACAAGCAAACCGTCATCAGACCAGAGCAGCAGCCACTCAGCAACCTGCCCAAGCAACCGTGTTTTTTAACGCATCCTGATGGACGCCATTCAGGGCCATCCGTCAAACATCGCGGACTGAAACCTCCAGTGTCTCAGAGGGGAATGGAAAGAATAGGAGCTGGTTTGGCCGGGCCAGGCCGCCAGGGTTGGAAGAATCTCAGGACTCAACCACGCCATGAATTGTCAGAATTGTTCTGTTTGGAGATTCGTACTGTACCATACTGATCCATACTGTACCTGTTTGTGATCCAGCTGGTGCATCGCGATGCCTGCACGTCCAGTTCCGCGCGATGCCTGCACGCCAGGGGCTGGGATGGCAAAGTCCCCAGGACGCACTATAAATGGCCACACGGGGAACCCCGGACGTGGAAAAAGCTGCGATGGTGCAACCAACCAACCAACCAACCAACCAACCAACCAACCAAGCAACCAATTCTGCTAGTTTGGGTGATCGACCCGGTGTTCAGCGTGAAAGGAGTAAACCAAACAGTTATATGTGATGCTCCTTTATCGCAGTGGAGGATCCCATGAACATGCTACCATCCAAGACTCACTCCAAGACTCTGAACCGACTAAACAAACCTGGACCTTCCAACAAAAAGATTCTGGTCGTTTTTGGTTCTATAATGTTTTATGGTCGTTTTTGACGTTCTTCTTGTTTTGTTGTTTTTTTGCGGATTTGTGCGTTGGTTTGCAGTTTCATCGCCTGCCGTCTTGTGCAGGCTAAATCATCCGCTCTCGTCGTTTCTGCCGCGCTGGCGTGGAGGTTTGAATCCAGTCTCTTCACTTAGGCTTACTAGGTTTGAGGGATGAGCATGAGTGTGTTTAGCATGATAGGAACACTCACCTTGATGGCCTTGATGCTTACCATGTGTTTGTCCCATGACGCCTAGCCACATCATTCTCTTCCACCATGTGTTTGGGCCAAATGCAATCCTCAAAGTGCAGGTGGTTTCAGCACCACCGCTGCACCATTCTCGCGGCGCCGTCGAAAGACCGACTCCGCAGACGACGTGCAGGACGTGTGCTTGGACCGGCTGGGCTTCCTGAGCTGCCCAGCAAGCCCGCCCGGGGGCCAGAAGCGACAGGCCATGGTGCCGTTGGAGCGATGCCAAACCACCGTGCTGGGTACGGCGCAGTGGTGAAGATACTCGCAGTTTACACTTGTTTGCTGGTCTCCCTATCGATACACGACAAAATGCTTGTGGTGAATAGAATTGACTCCTGAGCAATGTCAGCCAAACTGGTCTTGTGGTACTAAAAACCTGCACCATCCTGGACGGGCCACAACTGGCATAAAGATTGTCATGTGCAGTTCTGTGTGGGTGGATGTATATAGCTTTTTCAATGCTTCAGAAGCTACTATTTCCCGAATGAAATTGGTTTTAGCAGCAAGAGGCAATATGCCACAGTTGAAACAGACATATGGCATGGTGATATGTATCCAGGTCCAAATATGATCAAACATGTTGAGGAACCAAATATTGACACGTGTCCACATTGACATGAAAAAAAACATATATAATTATCCTTTTTCATTGGTGCACCACCATCGCATCTCAAAATCCAACCTCTCGAGCCAGCCTTCTCAGGCTCACGGTTTCCAAAACCGCGCTTTCCTGGCATTTTGGCGTGCTCCCTTTGGCTCTCCTCAGCCTGCTCTGAGGGGGGTTTGGGCCCATTCCGAGAAGGCAGACGAACTTCTCAAGTTAATGGTGAACCACTGATCGTGAGTGGCAGCAGCACCAGATATAGGACCAGATGCCGCAGGCAGATCATATTGTATCATTCTGATTCGAAATATACCAATCAAATCTGGCACTCGGACTAGGATGCAAAGAGCAGCACTTTGTCAGTATCTGGATGATCTATCTTTCATGTTCACTGGAGAGTGCACCCTGTCGCTCACACATCTGTGGCATTGAGTCTTGAGCTCGGTCTCACGGTGCCAAGATCACCATCGACGCGTGCGTTTCACGCAAAAGGGGCCTTGGCAGCCCTTACGTTGATGCGGAAAGAGCGCTTACCCTTGAAACCATCGGATTTAAATCCTCTCAAGCTCTTGGGTTCATGGTTCGTATTCATCCAACTATTTGTTATGGCTTTTGGCTGCCAAAGCTTGGTCTCACCGGAACACGACCCCTGACACGAGATATAAAACTGAGTCACCAAGAGGTGGACGACTGTTGGATGACCACCCAACAGCCGCACAGGTCTACTCCACCAGTCCGCAACGGGCTCGGCCGAGCTTGTCTCGTTTCGTAGCGACCAACTGGCTCAAAGCCGAGCTTTTCTTGAACAACACTGACATTGTCAGACATGAATACCCACCGTCACCAGGTTTTTTGACCCGGAAAATCTAATTGAGGTGATCTCCACAAGACGAGCCAAACAAACAGGTTTAGAGGCAAACGAAACATAGGGAAACAATCTTTTTCTACAAGAACGCTGATGGATCCCAAAAGCAAGTATCGAAAGCACTACCGTGAAATTGCGCGGACATGGCACTTCCAGAGGATTCTTCACGAAGACTCGGAGTTTGTTTCCTCATTTCCCCAGTTCCTCATCCAGCCGTTGGGAGCCGTTAGCGGCCGCGTGGTAGTCGTTGGTTGGCAACTGTCTCAATATTAGGTACTCCCACCATACCCCCGGGGTAGAACTGGGAAATACACCACGGAGCAGCAACTGATTGAGGTGTATTCTCAACCAGCTGCTTGGATTCGTACCTGTGGTTCAAGGCGATCGCCTCCAGCCTAAAGCTTCACAGCCCCTCCACCAAGCGAGACAAGTACTGTAATTAACACCCCAAAAAACAATATGATTTTGAGTAGCTTCTTGTACTATTGTTACTAGTAGTAACGCGAGGAGCTACTAGTAGCGTCCTTGCTCCTAGTCGCGATGCCCTTGTTACGAGTAGCGTCCTGTTCTTTTCCGACATCATGTGGGATGCATCCGACATCATTGGACCACTCATCGATGGATTCTTGGGGTGTCGATTGGACCACTCTCCAGCTTAACCATCCGGATGGATCTACAAAAAGGTAAGCAGCCCCCGTTTGTTTTTGACGTGTCAATCGATCGTTGAATCGAACATCTCGCCCGAAAAGGATGTGCTTCACCAGAGCCCAGCCCAATTCTGCAACCCAAAACGAAAGCTTTCTCCGTTGAGGAGCCGCTTCCAGAGTTTCAGGCACCAGCCCTGAAGGCACCCACAGCGAAGACCGAGCACCGGCAGCGTCGGGCATTTTATAGAAGACCGGAAGCTTTGGACAGATTGTCGGGGGGTTGGCATGGCTCGCCAGGTCGGGCTGCATTCATCTAGGACCAAGAGTTCAGGTGCTGTTTTTGAACCCACACTGATGCCCCAAGGATGGAAATACCAGGCACACAAGAGGGCGAGCACTCGCTTGTGCACTTGAAATTTACCTCGCTTGTGCACTTGAAATTTACCTCGCTTGTGCACTTGTACGATGACGATGACTACTACTACTACTACTACTACTACCACTACCACTTCTAGTACCACTGCATCTTTCTACTGCTACAAATGCGATGTTGACGACGACCACTACTACTCTTCTACTCTTCCACTACTACTACTACTACTACTACTGCTACTGCTACTGCTACTGCTACTGCTGCTGCTGCTGCTCCTGCTACTGCTACTGCTACTGCTACTGCCACAACTACTAGTACTACTACTACTAGTACTACTACTACTACTACCACTACTACTACTACTACTACTAC